CTGTAGTGAAGTGTTTGGGAGCAGCAGTCAGTCTGGACAGATTCAGCTTAGCACAAGGTAGGGTGATTTGTGTCTTTCTACATTAGGGAGCAGCCTCTGTGTCTTCTCTCTCTTTTTGGGGTTCTTATGTGTAATTTTATAGTAATGTTATATCGTCATCTTCCAGCAAGTATATTTTTGTTTTCATCTAATTTCTCTGTGTGTATACTGTGAACATAACTAATAATAGCCTGTATCAGGTTGGGTTTTTCAAAAGAGCCTAGGGGAGTTAACTGCTCCAGTCCCGTTATGCTTCTTTGAAAATTCAAGCCTCAGTATCTTTTGCGTAATTGTGAATCCATCTTATTTCAAGGAAATTTCTTTGTACATCGTGATGGGGTGTACAAACCCTACACTGGTCCCGAAAGAATAAAAGATAATGCTGGCCCCAGGTAGCCCTGTTCCTCCAGACCTGAAGAGCATGCTTCAACTGGAGTGGAAGCTTAAAAAGGTGCAACTCAGCCCAGGAGGAGGAGGAAGACAGACCTGTCCTGAGGGCTCTTGAACAAGTATGCTAAAGAAGCCTCCCTGTGAGGAAGAAGACTACCTGCTGAGCCCAGTTGGGGCTGCAGGTTTAGTTGTCTTTTCTTTTTTGTACCTTATATTGAACTTGGAGCCATAGTGGGAGATAGACGGTAGGAAGTGACCCAGGGAGGCAACTCCAAGGGCACTCCAGGGGGCGGGACACTGTTAGCTTTCACAGGGCTCTGGGTTGGAGCCTAGTAGACTGGGAAGACCTGGGATCTCCTACAATCTGCTCTTGCTGCAGAAGTGGCATAAGCCTCATCTCTACCCATTTCCCTTCTAGTAAGGAGAGGACAAGGACAGGGAATATCCTGAGGTGAAGGTAAGCTCCATACCAGTGTCAGCAACTGGACTGAAAGCCCTTGCTGCTGAGAGGCAAGGCTGGAAAGTGGTGTGCTATCCACCATGCCCCCTGGCCCTCCAAGGACTCTTAGAATCATAAATATAGAAGGTAACCATACAGCAGTACAATTAATGAGATCCAACCTAAGAAACTTAAAGATGAATATCATAGACAATAAGTCTAACATGGTACAGATTGTAATGTATGGCTACTTATAGGCCCTTTGTTTTGTACACATAATCTAGATGTGTATAACAGCATGATATGTTGAATAATAAAAAGAAAGATAAATCCAACTTTAGTGCTAGAGCAGATTATTATTAGGCTTGGTCCCAGTGATTTAAAATCATAAGTGCCAGTCAATTTGAACTTCATTCCAAAAAACACTGTAGAATATTTCAGAGCCATAATGAAATGTAGGGCAATGAAAATGTTAAAAATATTTACAGTTTTCTTTTAAAACATGCCTTCTGCAAATAAGTTCCTGGTGCTATACAGAATTAAACTTCAGCGGGAAGTTTAAAGTTGACTTCCACACTAAAACAGATCCTTAACAGTGACTTCATATGATTTTATATCAATTATATCAACCAATCAGCTTACATAACTGTCAAACATTCTATGCATTTAGGAAATTATTTTGCTTTAGCATTGTTGAGCTTACTGTTAGGGTTCTGTGCTAGAGCAGAAGTTTGATCAAGTTGGGTAAATATTACTTTGGGGTACCTGTTGGAGTTGAAAGTGAAAGCCATATAGAGTGTTGGAATGTGCTGACGGGAATATAAAACTGGAAAGAAAGGTGCAAGTTTTACCCTTGAACTTCTTATCTCCATTTTTTCAGGATTTAGGTGGAGGGAATATGTCCTGCGACAATCTTAATTGTCACTAACCATAGTTTTTGTTTGCTAGTTTCCTAGGGGTTTTTTTTATACAGCTTTGGTTTACCTCTGTGAACTGCTCCCTAGAGTGAGAGAGAATGGGAGCTACACCATCAAAGGAAGAAACTCTGCTGCTGAAGCTGCTCATAACGGTCAGCCCTCCTTAGGGTGACCAGACGTCCTGATTTTATCAGGACTGTCCCGATATTTGCTTGTTTGTCCCACGTCCCGACCAATGTTAGGTCGGGACACTGGACAAACAAGGAAAGGCTCCGGAGCCTAGAAAGGCTCGCGCGCCCCCCACCCCGACTCTGCCCCCACCTTCCCCCATTGGCTCCCTCCCCGAATCCCCATCTCTTCCCCAAGCACGCCATTCCTCCTCCCTCCCCAAGCGCTGGAGGCCCGGGAGACGCAAGGGGAGCGCGGGGCCGGGGTGAGTGAGAGTCCGGCCTGGCCCCGAGGGCAGGCAGGACTCAGGCGGGCGGTAGGGAGAGTAGGGGGGTGGCCCGCGGGGCCAGGCGGTGGCTGTTCTCCCCACGTGGGCAGCGGGACTCGGGAGCAGCCACTGCTACAGCTTCTACTGCCGCGGGGGGAGGAAGCGGCCATGGCGCTCGGTGGCTGCGGCTCTGGCGCCCGGGCCTGAACCCCCCGAGCCTGGGCCTGTTGCGGGGACCCAGCAGCATGCACGCTGCTCCCAGCCCCTGGCCAGTCGCGTCTGGGCTGCTGCCCAGCTGGTGCAATCCTGCGGCGGCCCCAGGGCAGAGGCATCGGCAGCCCAGCCCTATTCGTTCCCCTGCAGGACCTGAGCGGGATCGGGGGGCTGGGGCCTGCTGCTCCACTCCGGGGCTGCCCACGGGATAGCACCAGCTGGGCAGCCAGCCCAGACGTGACTGGCCAGGGGCTGGGCGCGCACAGCATGCACGCTTCTGGGTCCCCGCAACAGGCCCAGGCTCGGGGGGCTCACGGGTGCAAGAGCCGCAGCCGCCGAGCTTGGCCAGCAGCTGCTTCCTCCCCCCGTGGCAGTGGGAGCTGCAGCAGCGGCTGCTCCCGAGTCCCGCTGCCCACGTGGGGAGAACAGCCACCGCCTGGCCCCACGGGCCACCCCCCTACTCTCCCTCCTCAGCCCGACTGAGTCCTGCCTGCGCTCGGGGCCAGGCCGGACTCTCACTCACCCTGGCCCCGCGCTCCCCCTGCATCTCCGGGGCCTCCCTCCAGCACTTGCGGAGGGAGGAGGGGGGGAGGGTTTTTTTTTGCTCTGCCGCCGTTTTTTTTCTCTCCCCCGCCTCCCCCCACGTCCCGATATTTGACCTGGGTGATCTGGTCACCCTAGCCCTTCTGAGGAGTATTAGAGACTGTAATGAGCCTCAGTCAGGTCTTTGTGTCTCTAGCATTTTGTCCCTTTTAAAAGCTATGGAAAATAAGTAAACCAAGATCAACTCTCCATGCTTAGAAATAATGACACAACCTGATGCCAAAGGGAAATTCCATTAAGGATTCTGTGTAATCCCACACTTCTAGAAATTATTATTCCATTTTTAGACTGAGGAGAACTTGACACACCTACAGTGGGTTACATAAATATTTACTAGACAGCAGCAGAATGTTGGTGATCAGGAATCCTGGATTCTATCCCTGGATCTGGAGACTCACTCACTCACTCACGCCCGTCACCCCCATCGGGGTATGGGCCGCCAACCACAGATCTCCAGAGTCCTCTATCCTGGGCCATTTGCTCTAGCTGGTTCCAGATATAGCCCATTTTTATGCTATCAGCCTGAAGGTCGTATCACCAGGTGTTTCTTGGATGGTCTCTTTTCCGCTTGCCACAGGGGTTCCAGCGCAATGCCTGTCTAGTGATGTTGGTTGGCTGCTTGCGTAGTGTGTGTCCTATCCAGCCCCACCTTCTCCTTCTAATTTCTTCCTCTGCTGGAATTTGACGGGTCCTCTCCAAGAGGTAGATGTTGCTGATGGTGTCTGGCCAGCGGATCTGGAGAATCCTACTAAGGCAACTATTTATGAAGGTCTGGATCTTTCTGGTGGTTGTTTTAGTTGTCCTCCAGGGTTCAGCTCCATACAATAAGACTGATTTCACGTTGGAATTGAACAGTCTAATCTTTGTTGCCAAAGACAGCTCTCTGGAGCTCCAGATGTTCTTGAGTTGTAAGAAAGCTACTCTTGCCTTACCGATCCTTGTTTTGATGTCTGCGACCGTGCCACCCTGTTGGTCGTTGATGCTGCCTAGGTAGGTGAAGGACTGCATTTCTTCCAGAGGGCTTCCATTCAGTGTGACTGGGTCATTACTGATGGAGTTAATCTTGAGGATCTTGGTCTTGTCCTTGTGGATGTTGAGGCCAACCTGTGATGACGTGGCTGCCACTATGTTGGTCTTCTCTTGCATCTGCTGTTTGCTATGTGAAAGGAGTGCATGGTCATCGGCAAAGTCCAGGTCATCAAGCTGGGTCCACAACGTCCACTGGATTCCGTTCCTGCGCTCATAAGTGGATGTCTTCATAATCCAATCAATGACAAGGAGAAAGAGAAATGGTGACAAACATCCTTTTCTGACTCCGGTTCGCACCTGGAAGCTCTTTGTAAGCTGCCCTCCATGGATCACTCTAAAGTGTATGCCGTCATATAAGTCCTTAATCAAGTTAACCACCTTTACTGGGATGCCATAGTGCCGAAGGAGCTTCCAGAGGGTCGCTCACTCCACGCTATCGAATGCTTTCTCATAGTCATGAAAGTTGATGTACAACGAGGAGTTCCATTCCATAGACTGCTCGACTACGATGTGGAGCGTTGCTATCTGGTCCGTGTATGATCTATTTTGCCGGAAACCTGCCTGCTCATCTCGTAGCTGTGGATCGACGGCATCCTTCATTCTCTCTAAGAGAAAACTCGGTTGAAGACCTTCCCTGGCACCGACAGAAGTGTGATTCCTCTGTAGTTGGCACAATTGCTGAGGTCTCCTTTCTTGGGGATTTTAATAAGGTATCCCTCTTTCCAGGCTGCCGGAATCACTTCTTCTTCCCATATCTTTTCAAAAAGGGGGTACAGCATTTCCACTGAAGCATCCAGATCTACTTTCAGGGCCTCTGCTGGAGTATCGTCAGGTCCAGCCGCCTTCCTGTTCTTCATCATAGTGATGGCTTTTCTGATCTCATCTCTGGTAGGTCTATCACAATTGATTGGAAGGTCTTTGTTGGCTGGGTCAATGTCTGGTGGAGTTAGTGGTGCTGGTCTATTTAGGAGTTCCTCAAAGTGCTCCGCCCATCAATTCATCTGTTGTTCTATTTCTGTTATAGACTTTCCCTGCTTGTCTTTGACGGGATGTTCTGCCTTGCTGAACTTTCCAGACAGTCGCTTGGTGATGTCATACAGCTGTTTCATATTACCATTGTATGCTGCCTGTTCCGCTTCTGCTGCCAGTCCATCCACATAATCTCTCTTATCCTTCCTAATATTCCTCTTCACTACTTTATGGGTTTCAGCATACTCTTCTTGCGCTTTAGCCTTTGCTGCTCTAGTCCTGCTGTTATTAACTACTGCCTTCTTCTTCTTTCTATCTTCTGTCTTAGTCAAGGTCTCTGCTGTGATCCACTCTTTCTGCTGGTATTTCTTAATTCCAAGCACTTCCTGGGCATGCTTACCTAAGTGTCTCTCTCACTTTCTGCCATCTGTTGGATACACTGTCTTCCTCAGATCGATCCTGTAGTACTGAAAACTTATTCTTCAGCGTCAGTCCAAATATCTTCCTTGATCTTATGATCCTTTAAAAGGAAGACGTTGTACTTCACTCTTCTATCTGACGCGTCTATCCAGTTCTTCTTCAGCTTCAATCTGGTCACCACTAAGTGATGGTCGGACGCTACGTCTGCTCCTCTTCTAACTCTAACGTCCTGCAAAGATCTTCTGAACTTCTTACTAATACAGAAATGATCAATCTGGTTTGCTATCGTGCCTGCTGGCGATACCCAGGTACTCTTGTGGATCCGCTTGTGAGGAAAGATGCTACCTCCTATGACCAGGTTGTTAAGTGCACACAAATCCACAAATCTCTCTCCATTCTCACTCATCTCTCCCAGAGCGTGGGTCCCCATGACTTGTTCATATCCTGTGTTGTCAGGTCCAATTTTGGCATTAAAGTCTCCCATAAGGATGGTAATGGCCCCAAAGGACCTCTCTGGTGGAGTTGGATCTGGAGAAGAGTATGGTTTATAGTCATTATAGACAGGATAACCAACATTGGATTAAGTCACTCTGAAAGGCAATGCTGAGCAGTAGAAAAGGTTGGGGCTTGTAAAGTTAGAGACCTGGCTTCTGGGCTTGTACTCTAAGTTGTCCAATGTAATAAAGGTCCAGCTCAAACTGCTATATAAAATTGTTTATAAAAAGGTACAAAAGGGAGAGAGCCTAAATTAGTCCAAATAAAAAGATCTACTGTACCTCCTAAGAACTGTCTTAAAATGATAACAGGTAAACAACAGGAGAATGGAATCGGAAATCAATGGACCAAAGTTGGTATGTCAGAAATTAGGCCTAATTTGCAGACAAAATAATGTGTCATTTTGAGAGAACTCAGGATGCCAGGGCAAGCTGGGTGGTGTGGAATGAGTGGACATCACTATCATAGCTTCCATCTCACCAGGATCTCACCAGGATCTACCATGAGACTGTTGGGCCTTCATCAACCTTATCCTGATAAATATCCTGACCAGACAGGCCAGAGGAAGGGAACTGATGAAATCAACATCTCCATTGGCTTTCATTACATTCTGAACACCACCTGACATGTGAGACTTTGGTTCCTGATGTCCCCTGCACCCATGTCCTTTTCCTTCCTCTACTGTTTTTCTTTCCCAGCTCTCTCTTTTTGCCTTCTGTTTAAAAAGTGCTTGTCTTAGCCAGCAAAGACTGTCTCTTTTGCTGAGCCCATGATCAGAAAGGCAGCTTAAAAACAATGCTTTAAACAGCCCAACACTGATACAATTTTGCCAGATCTCCGAGACAGCACATTCTTAACAACTACTCTGTCTGGAGTAATGAGGTTGCAAGTAAGAGTTGGCACCAATGAGAAGCAACATTATTTATCTTTGCTGTTCTTTTCTCTCCTCTTTTGTCTGTGTTTGTCTTGTTTATATTCTAGGAAGCAGTATTGGACTTTAACAGCAACAACAGGTCAAGAACATCTCAACTAAGCTCTTCGCTTTCCCCCCCAAAAGGACAGTTATTGCTATTTGTAATACATCTAATAATGTTAAACAAGGGATTTTCCTAATGAAACTGTACAGCTAAAGGGAAAGGGAATAAGGAAAATTGTTAAAATGAAAGGTGTTTAATACTTTACATTTCATATGTGTTAACTGTTTTCCTTTCTTTTCTGTATCTTTCATAAAATGTTATAAGGAATAAATAGGCCAGGTTCATACAGTAACTCATTTTATTCTCTGGGCCCATTTCTTCCATCCAAATTAACACAACAGGCCTGCAATGACCTTGCATAAGCTCTCTGCTTATTTAATTTAAAAAACGGGAAAGAGAAGTATTCAGAAGCTCTCACCTAACTGTCCTCTAGCTTGTGGTTCATAGCTGCAATCAATAAAAAGAGTAGTGAATTGGCCAGAAATTTCAAAAGCATTTAGAAGAGATGATATTTGAACTTGTGTTTTCTGGCAACTCTGATAAACTTTCCTCTAAACTATCACATTATTTAGTAGGGGAGTCTCTCTGTATCTCTCTTTTTCTACCCTTCCAGAAGTTCATGGCATGGCACATCTGTAGTCAAATTAAAGCTTGGCAGGGTGAGGTTGGCACATGTTTTCCATTACGACTAAAGAGTTACAAAATGCTTAAAGACAAACACTACTGACATAGAACTGCAATATATTTGGAATCAGCACATGGGCAGAAACAGTGTAAGCAAAAGATGGGTCCTGGAGTAAATTAGATTTCTTGCAAAAATGGGGGGGGAGAGTGAAACAGTGGGGTTTTTTTAAACTATTATTCTTTTGTATTAGTCGATTTTCATGAAGCTACCCAGAAAAATCCAAACCAAGCTCAAAGTTTATATTCCATGTTCTGATTTTTGCTGTTTCAATGAGATTTTTTATAAAATAAGGGTTTAAATCACCTGTTGAAATGGAATTTTGTAACAACTGTAACTATTGTGTAACAGTACCTGTATGATTCATAATTTCACTCTAAGACTTAACACCATATTTCTAATTTATTATCAGTGTAAACCTTCTGCCAGGTGCAGCCAGCAGCACCCAGAGCCAGGTTCAGTATCTAGGGGTTCCTTTTAATCAATACAACACAGAACCATCTCAAGCCTCCACCCAGTGACCTGCGAAAATTACACACCATCCCTGGGTGCCTCTGAGAGGCAATACTTCCCCACTCACAAGCACAGAGTCTGAGTGTAGAAAAGAAACTTTTAATGAAAGAAGGGAAAACAATTAGGAAAAATGCCACAAGCAGGATTCATAATCATAAAACTGTGAGCAGGACACCCACCCCAGAGTGCATGGGGCAGTGTCTTCTGCCTCATCTTCTGAGTTCTACAACCAAAAGTTCCCTTTCTATGCCCCCCTTCGCTCCCTCACCATACCTCACTCACAGTGGTTGTCCTTGGTCAGCAAGGACCCAGGGATCAGAGGTGCATTTGTGTGAGTTCACCTTGCACCTGGGGAAGGAGGCAAGTTGCTTGCTCCCCCATCTGAGCACTTGCTCTGACTGGCCGCTCTGCCAGCCGCGGTTCCTCTCCGCTGGGCCCCCTCGCCAGCCGCGGTTCCTCACTGCTGGGCCCCTTAGCCAGCCGCTCATTATGCTCGCTCATTTGTTCATTCTGCTTGCGACCTTGTCAGCTGCCGTTCCACTCGTCAGTCACCTTCTGCCATCTGCCTCTCTGCTGTGACCTCTGCAGGTCAGTCTCCTAGAATCATAGAATATCAGGATTGGAAGGGACCTCAGGAGGTCATCTAGTCCAACCCCCTGCTCAAAGCAGGACCAATCCCCAACTGAATCATCCCAGCCAGGGCTTTGTCAAGCCTGACCTTAAAAACCTCTAAGGAAGGAGATTCCACCACCTCCCTAGGTAACCCATTCCAGTGCTTCACCACCCTCCTAGTGAAATTATCCAACCTAAACCTCCCCCACTGCAACTTGAGACCATTACTCCTTGTTCTGTCATCTGGTACCACTGAGAACAGTCTAGATCCATCCTCTTTGGAACCCCCTTTCAGGTAGTTGAAAGCAGCTTCTGCAGACTAAATAATCCCAGTTCCCTCAGCTTATCCTCATAAGTCATGTGCTCCAGCCCCCTAATCATTTTTGTTGCCCTCCGCTGGACTCTTTCCAATTTTTCCACATCCTTCTTGGAGTGTGGGGCCCAAAACTGGACACAGTACTCCAGATGAGGCCTCACCAATGTTGAATAGAGGGGAATGATCACATCCCTCGATCTGCTGGCAATGCTCCTACTTATACAGCCCAAAATGCCGTTAGCCTTCTTGGCAACAAGGGCACAATGTTGACTCATATCCAGCTTCTCGTCCACTGTAACCCCTAGGTCCTTTTCTGCAGAACTGCTGCTTAGCCAGTCAGTCCCCAGTCTGTAGAGGTGCATGGGATTTTTCCATCATAAGTACAGGACTCTGCACTTGTCATTGTTGAACCTCATCAGGTTTGTTTTGGCCCAATCCTCTAATTTGTCTAGGTCCCTCTGTATCCTAGCCCTACCCTCCAGTGTATCTACCGCTCCTCCCAGTTTAGTGTCATCTACAAACTTGCTGAGGGTGCAATCCACGCCATCCTCTAGATCATTAATGAAGATATTAAACAAAACTGGCCCCAGGACTGACCCTTGGGCCGCTCCGCTTGATACCGGCCGCCAACTAGATATGGAGCCATTGATCACTACCCATTAAGCCTGAAACAATCAGCTTTCTATTCACCTTATAGTCCATTCATCCAGCCCGTACTTCTTTAACTTGGCGGCAAGAATACTGTGGGAGACCGTATCAAAAGCTTTGCTAAAGTCAAGAAATAACACATCCACTGCTTTCCCCTCATCCACAGAGCCAGTTATCTCATCATAGAAGGCAATTAGGTTAGTCAGGCACGACTTGCCCTTGGTGAATCCATGCTGACTGTTCCTGATCACTTTCCTCTCCTCTAAGTGCTTCAAAATTGATTCCTTGAGGACCAGCTCCATGATTTTTCCAGGGATTGAGGTAAGGCTGACTGGCCTGTAGTTTCCCGGATCCTCCTTCTTCACTTTTTTAAAGATGGGCACTACATTAGCCTTTTTCCAGTCATCTGGGACCTCCCCCGATCACCATGAGTTTTCAAAGATAATGGCCAATGGCTCTGCAATCATATCCGCCAACTCCTTTAGCACCCTCGGAAACAGTGCATCCGGCCCTATGGACTTGTGCTCATAAAGCTTTTCTAAATAGTCCTGAACCACTTCTTTCTCCACAGAGGTCTGGTCACCTCCTCCCCATACTGTGCTGCCCAGTGCAGCAGTCTGGGAGCTGACCTTGTTCGTGAAGACAGAGGCAAAAAAAAGCATTGAGTACTTTAGCTTTTTCCTCATCCTCTGTCACTAGGTTGCCTCCCCCATTCAGTAAGGGGCCCACACTTTCCTTGACCACCTTCTTGTTGCTAACATACCTGTAGAAACTCTTCTTGTTACTCTTAACATCCCTTGCTAGCTGCAACTCCAAGTGTGATTTGGCCTTACTGATTTCACTCCTGCATGCCTGAGCAATATTTTTATACTCTGGAGATTTCACCCAGCTCTTAATGATTTTCAGCTCTTAGGCTGGGCAGAAATACTGTCCCAGTACAAGTGATTGTCAGCTCTTTTGAGACTTAAAGTAACAAAAGGCTTCAAATGGAGCCTATTTAGCTCTATCTTTGAACAGAGGGGAGAAACAGGTTAAACCAGACTGGGGACCATTAGGACATGGCTACACTTGCAGATGTAGAGCGCTGTGAGTTAAACCAGTCCTCGGAGACCGCAGCAGGGAAAGTGCTGCAGTCTGTCCACACTGACAGCAACAAGCGCACTGGCATGGCCACACTTGCGCACTTGCAGCAGCATTGGGAGTGGTGCATTATGGGCAGCTATCCCACAGAGCACCTCTTCCCATTCT